CAATCTATGTGTTAGAGGCCCTCCATGTAATTCTCATGCCTGCTAACATTAGAAAACACTGACTTAATTTATGTTGATTAAGTGCATTTTTTATTTTATCAAAGAGCAACTTTCCCAATGTCTGATTCTTAGTAGGCTCTCAATAAATGTTACCCTGAAAATGAAAATATACTTAATTTGCCATGCAACATTCTGCAATGTTTATGATATTTTAGTCTCTTTGTTACTGTATACTCGGGAATGAGTACTTGCCCTCAAAGATTATTCATTTTCTTTCCCTTTGAGACTAGCTCTTTGGCTTTTTATTTAATATGAAAGGTCATCTTCAAAGAAGATTGTTGTCTGATGCTTCAGTTATTTAATTCTCTAGAGAGTCACTGAGAAGTAAAGTGAGTTCATGCCAATCATTTCTTTCCTATTTTTAAAGAGGGATATTCACTTCACTGTCAATGATGATTAGTGGATTTTTTCTCTCATCTCTTCTGCAGGATGAGCCAGAAATTCAGTGGCCAAGAGTTTGTTGTTTTAAGACTTCTCAGTTGGCTTTGGGTCTGCTTAGGCAGCAGATTCATCCAAGGGCTTTAATGCTCTCAGCTTTGCTTCAAATCATATATGAAAGGGGGGAAATCTATCACAAAGAAAGCTGAAGTGCAACAGGTTTATGGAGACAAATGGGCTCAAAGTGTAACATGTGATTTCACTTGTATTATATATCCAATAATTTCTGATGTGTGAAATCCAGGGGAATTATGGGCTCCAGAGTCAGTGAGATTGATGTGATATAAACCTCTTTAACCTCTGGTCAGGGAAATGACTTCTGTGGGTTGAGCAACATCCCTGCATATGAGCACATCTAGCCCCAGGGACAGGTTCCCCAGGTAGGGGAAAGAATCAAGACCTGAGTTGGGTTTATGTCCTATAGGAATGAGAATGCTGATTGTGGGTGAAAACTTGTGATGCAGACATCACTGAGAGTTTGGGAGGGGCTCCCACATGGAGTAGGGTGGGAAGTAGAGATGGTTAAGGGATTCTGAGAGTCGACCAACAAGACGGAGAAGTGTGGTCCAGACTTCAGGAAACCATGCTAGGGATCTGACTCGGACCCCGTTTGCTAGCTTTCCTTGTAATTTTCATGAGGAAGTGGGTGGAAGGAGGCTCCTAGGATAGAATTCTGCTGAGTAGTGCTAACCACTCCTGAACAGCTCGTTCTTTCCTAAGTGAAATCTGCTACTTATGATACGGCTTTGAATTGGTAGCTGGATATATGGCTCTTGAGTCCTAGCTATAGCTTCTTAGCTTTGTCTCCCAAACTTCAGCATATTTGTTCATTCAGAGAGATGGGGGTGGATTGGCCCCTAGAGCTCAGGCCCTGGAGGATGACCAGATAACTGCATTTAGAAGTCCATAAACCCTGACCATCTCATAGGAGCCAAGTACCACAGAGACACTAGGAATCAAGTGAGAAGCAAGAATGCTTGTTTTTAGGGAGCCGAGTCTAGTGAAGGACATAGATAATCTAAATGGTTTAAATTCAATGGGATAATTTTTGCAGGTACAGAATGTCACATAAATTGAATGTTTTTGTTTGTTTCTGCTTGAGGAGGTCAGCTAAACCTTCTAAGAAGAAGTAATACTTAGAGCTAGGCCAGGTACTAAAGAGGGAAAGGGCATTGTAGGCAAAAGGAAGAGTGTTTAAGAAAGCATGGTGCTGTCAGGAAATGGCAAGTGGTCTGTCTTCCCTAATATCATATTCTCTCTGAGGGTGAGAGGTAGACTTGAGGTGGGATAGGAGACATGGAGTCATGTCTCAAATGACCAGTCACAAAGACCAGTATCTTGTTGGGAGACTAGGGAGAAGAGCTTTAAATAAGAGGGTGACAGGTCGATTTTTTTTTAAATTTTTTATTTTTTCAGCATAACAGTATTCATTATTTTTTGCACCACACCCAGTGCTCCATGTAGTCCGTGCCCTCTACAATATCCATCACCTGGATCCCCCAGCCTCCCACCCCCGGCCCCTTCAAAACCCTCAGGTTGTTTTTCAGAGTCCATAGTCTCTCAGATTTGTTTTTGAAAGATCATTCAAGCTCTTTTGTGGAGAATAGGGTGGAGGGAATAGAGCCTTGTCAAAATAGAGTTGAGGCGTGATGAGGTCCTGGCCTAGATCCATTGCCAAGGCATTGAGGAAGCCAGGTGACTTTTAGAGCTTGAATTTGCCCAGCTAACTTCTTTTAGAATCCTCACCCACCTCTTTGGGGGCACCTAGGGCTGCTGCTTCTGTAGTTGCTGCCCACACAGTTGTTTCTGCTAGAGGTTGCAGATTAAACCTGAGCCTGCATTCTCTCATTTATCCCATGGATCTTTCTTCTCTTAAAGATTTTCCCAAATTCTCCTCACAGTGTGGAACTGAAGCTAATTACAAAGAATTCCATGTTAATATATTAGTAAATAATGTTGAACTTAGATACCTTTTGTGAGTGTGTATGTGTGTGTGTATATGTGACAAGCAGTATAACTTTGTACTTGACATGTGATTTAAATAGCTTACATCAAATGCTTGAATTCATACATGAAACTTTTATTGACATTTACTGTGTGAAGACACTACTAGCTTCACTGAGGGGTAACTTAAAAAAAATATTAGACTTCCTCTTGCAGAATGTACTAACTCTGGTTTATTTTTACAACCACAAAACCAAGGAACCTTCTAACAGCATTTGGTTAATTCATTTATTTACTCATCCATCTATTAATCCATGAGTCAGCCAATATTTGATAATCATCTACTTTGTGAAGGAAGAGTAATGACATGAAGAACACATTAGGGGTGGAAATAAAAATAGAACAGAGAGTTCTGGATGGACCTCAGAGTTCTCAGAAAGCCCAGAATATAAAATAACCTCAAGACTTTGGGTACTTATCTTTAATAGTAGGGTCACTCTCATTATTAAAGAGCATATTGGGTTAGGAAATAAGTTTTTGCTTCTTAGATAGCCTATCCTATCTCTGGCCCCATGTTCCTCTGGTAATTACATGAAACTTTTGGTCACTGAGTTGTGTACTGCAGAACTTACTCACTAGGCCACAATAATTTCAAGAAATGAATGAGGAAAGTATTTTCCATTACCTATCTGTAGGGTATTTTCTCAGTTAAAAAGGGACCAAATAGTATGCGTTCCTAGGCAGGTGTGATAGAAAATATTCAGTCTACTCCACCCTCTTCCCCGTTGTGGGTCTGTTTGAAAATTGGCCAGTTTCAGAATTCAGCTACCAGTTGTTTGTATAAATGACTAATGGTCATCAGAAACATCTGCGAAGTACACCATGCCCAGACACATTTTGATCTCTTCCTCCTTGAAGGCCCCCTTTTAACTGAAAAAGCTCTTTCTCATTCTACAGTAGTCTCCTCCTTTGTAGAAAGAGCACTTGCTGGGAATCAGGTGACTTGATTTCTAATCCACACTAACCTGCCAACTAGTTGAATGGCTTTAGGCCAGGGATTGGCACACGATAGCCTGCTGCCAAATCTGACCTGTTTTTTGTAAATAAAGTTTTATTGGAACAGAGCCACGAGTATTTGTTCATTTATTCTTTTGGCCACAGTGCAGAGAGGAGTATTTGTGACAGGACCATATGGCCACAGAGCCTAAAATATTTACTATCTGGCCCTTTACAGAAAAATTTGTCAATCCCAGCTTTAGGCAGGCCATTATCTTACTGGAGCCTTAGCTTCCCTGTCTGTAAACTTGGGGAATTAGATTAGGTTGTCCCTAGGGCCTATGTCCTTTTTAACATTCTGTTGCTCTATAACTCTTACTACAGAGCAGCCTCATATCAATCATTGTACACTGGGATATAAACCTATACATATTTATATTCACTTCTTCAATTTGTGAAGTACTAATAATACTGGCAAGCCACTGTAGAAAACTAACCACTCTCAGAGGCTCTGCCCTTGAGAAGCTTATACTCTGGATAGAAGACAGAGTTACAAGGCTTTGAAGTTAAATTATAATAGAAGATAATAAAGGATAACATACCAAAGTGAGTGTTGATAACTAAATGACTTCAGAGGAGAGAGATCATTATGGGCTGAGATGATGAGGGAAAACCCATAGGAGAAAGTAGCATGTTTTTATGAATAGTTATCCCCATGGCCCCATAGAATATTGAATTTAGTGTCCTTCTACAGCAGTAGTTCTCAGGTTTTAGAGTGCGATTTTAGAGTGTAGGTTACTGGGAAAAAATAGAATACTAGGAAAAAATAAAAATACTGGGAAAAAATTCCTGCTACCCAGCTTTAGTTTAGAGGTTCTGATTGTAGGTCTGGGGCATATCCCAGGAATCTGATTTTTCAAAGAGCACCCCCCTGGTGATTCTGGTATACATGGAGAATTTTCTTACTTTAAAAATATTTCTTTGGAAATTTTGTTAAGTTGCTAAATATTGTTTCTGCTGAGAAATTCATGCTACGTTTTACAGAGTCTTACTAAACCGTACATTTTGTGGGAGCAGGAGGAACTCCACTATCCATGGAGCAATTACTTCAATGATTTTCTCTCTCCTTTTAGGAAATCTGTGATCTCCCAGGCCAAGAAGAACAAACTGAGGACTATCTCTGAAGGCCATTGAATTCCTTTTTAAGTGTAGAGGGGAAATCTGAGATCAGTATAGTGTTGTGTCTATGATAGCTGAAGATAAATTATTGGAAAGAGTCAGGGTACTAACTGCTTCCATTTGCATTTGACTCTTGGTCCTTTTGTGGTGAGCTTTTTGTTTGTGCAAAGCTGGCTGGGGTCAGCCTAGTGGGTCAAAAAAAAACCCTCAATGAAAGAGGTTGGGAATCTCCAATCTCCATCCCAAAACATGTCACTGATGACTTGAACATATCACCAGATACTCAAGGTACAGAGGAGAGCTTCCACCTGTGGGAGAATGATCCTCTGAAGAGAAATTTGGAGTCATCATCAGAGCCATTGGAGGGGACATCTGAGAGTCAAATGGGTGACATTTCACAAGAGCCTGTCATGCCTCCAGTCCAGAGGAGAAAGTTAGATCCACTTCCAAAAAAGCATAGACGTCTTAGGAAGGCTGTAAGGTCAAAGAGAATGAGGAAGAACAAGAGGAGGGAGAAAGTGGAGACCCTCTGCCCCCCAATCCTTCCAACACCTTTGGTACCACCACAAAGTGAAGATGAAGTGGTAGATACAAAGCCGACTGTACTCAGTGCTCACAAAGATGATCCTGACCTTCCCAGTGAAGTAAGGATAAGGCATGGGGTGTCAAAAGTCTGGGCTTGCCACATTTTCCTAGGAAAAATAATGGCAACTCTTCCCCTGCAGTGGGAGGAGGTGGGGGTAAAGAGCTTGAGGAACAAACTGAGATCCTTAGGCCCAGATAAAGCATGAACTGGCTCAGAGCGTGATGCCTTTTTTGTGTATGTGTGTTGGCATTGAGGGCTTTGACTTCTTTCTTCTCCTTGCAGGACCCATTACAGAGTCAACAGGATGAGGGTGCCTGTGTGACGCATCAGGAGTGTCCAATCCAGCCCTGTAAGCAACCAGCATCCTCGGAGCCTGGGCCCTCTTCTCCTGCAGTGACATCCTTGGCATCACCACCACTCTGCTTTGGTCGCTTCTTAAGCTGTGTCTGCCGGACCTTCTCGAGGTCTAGGAAGTGGAAGCGCCCCAGAAGGCAGGGTACTGAGCTGACTGAGGCAGGAGGTGATGCCAAGTCTCTAAGACCTAGCCTGCTGAGGGATCTGGGCAAAAACAGAGTGCAGCCTCATGAGGGCCAGTAGCAAGTTGGTGCGGCTATGGGTTCTCCCTGTGTTTAGTTTTGTAGTTTTCTCCATATCGTTGTTCCTGTTGGTTGAGTTCTTGTTTATCAAAAAGAGAGCTGCTTTTATGCTGAGATCCTTAAGCCTAAAGATGCGGTAAAAGCAAAGTAACTGAAATTTTTAACACTTAACCCCAGTAGTGGGATTACTTCCTACTTCTTCCTGTTAGGCTGGAGTAGCATTCACTCTGGAGCAGTGGTTCCCAAAATTCATGCAGATGTCACTCGGTCTTCAGTTAGCTCAAGTCTCACTGCCTTCTCTGAGGATGGAAGCCATCCCATGCCATCATTTTGAGTAATGTCTCCAGATATTAGTCGCTAAGTGGAGACGTATCATGTCCAGCTCCTCTCATTGTCTTTTACCTTTGGCTAGAGATTCCTTTTGAATTCTTCATCCTCAGTACTTTGTAGAACTTCTGCTGCTTTCTAACTGATTCAACTTGCCTCAGGGGGTGGTGGTTGCTACTTTTCTTGGACAGGGTAACACTACCACCTCCTCCATCTCTAACCATGGTTTGGTTTTCTTTTTGTCACTTGTTGGTAAGCTACCTGGCTCTTCCTTTTGAATGTGCCTCTGGTGTTCTCTAGCCATATGTATTAAACCTAGTCAAATAAGTTAATAGGCTTCTTCCTCATTATTCTTTAGCCAGACTCTCACAGAATCCCAAGTTCTTCGGAGAACCCTAAAGAAAATAAGTACTTAAGAAAAGTTCAAGACTATTTCATTTCCCCCATTGTTTTCCCAGCACACTAGGTTAATCCTCTTCCCAGGATGTAAACTAAGAGTTTAAACTAATCTCATGCCCTACTTTGAGAGAGTAGGTTTAAGAAGAGTTTGAGAGTTTCCCCTGTAGCTTTAATTACTTGTTGTTATTTCCTACTTGTTCCAGTTTCCCACTTCATATAAGAACAATAAAGGTGCAAATAGAAATAAATGTGTAAAGTATCTGCATTAGAAGGGAATTTTATACTTTATTGTCTCCCTTCCTTAGGACTGACCCTGATGGTTACCACACTAGAATTGGAGAAGATAACCAATGTGTTTGTTTTGTTCTTTTTTGCCTAGAATAGGGTTTTGTACTGTTGGAAGAATGAAGTTGGAAAGGGAATAGAATGATTTGCAGGAGCAGTGGCAAAGATCCTTAAGACTGCCTTGGGGGTGATTTGTAAAAACTGCCCTGGATTAAGTTTTGTGATGTGGTGTGGATTTCAAGTTGGGATGAGGAATTTTGTAAAACGTCATACTCCATGCTTGGAGTAAAATGGGAGGGCTTTCTCAAGTCAGTCAGGCTTTGACACCTTTAGTTGTCTAAAGAATGATCGATTGTTTAGAGAGTACAGCATTTTAGTAGAGCTAATTGAGCATTATAAATGGGTTCAAGCTATTACGTGAAATTTCAAATGATCTAAACTAAATGTAATATAAGAAACATACTGCCATGCAAGGCATAATGTATGGAAAATCTTGCATCATGGAGCCTATTACTAGCTCAAAAGAAAGTAGATATTAGCGTTGTCATTAATGCTTTGTTACTGTTTCTTATCATAAGGTGTTTCAGGATGGGTTGTTCTATCATAGAAAGACTGTTCATTCCAGCCTGGTTAGCCATATGCCTACTCCCATCTACAATGCTGATTTCCACATAAAGTTTATTTATTCCAAATTTAGAGTATAGATTTCAGATAGGGGAAGATCTGGATAAGTACTTAGTTCTGAAACTCTATTGCTCATATGTCTTGACCCCTCCCTCACAAACAGGGGAAAAAGGTGTCCATGTCTCCTCCACTGTATTTGTAAAGAAGAACTTATGTGTTCTCAGGTTTCACATTCTGTGTTGCTATCTTTATAACTTGAATTATTAAACATGGTTTATGTCTTTAAATAAAGTTATTTTTGCAAAATATATTCAGAAAAATAGTACAGCTGTATCAAAGTAAAAACAAATTAAAAATAAAACCTACCACTGTTGATAAGAGATAAAGCTTGGGGGTCATTTAAAAAAAATGTTTCCCTGCAAGGCAGAGAAACAGATACTGTTGGTGTGTTGTAAACAGAAATACTTAATGAGTATAAAGATGATCATATTTAATGTATCTTGTTCCCTTTTTTTCTCATGGAAACGCACACAGCTAGGTAGGTGGTGGGATGCTCATTGCTACAAGTTGAGTAAGCTGAGATTAGGTAGGCTGATTAAACCTTTCCATGATTTTTTTCTAAGAACATTCATTACATCTGCTAGGGAGTTATAACACAAATTCTTTAAACAGATTATTTAGTCACTCACCTGTGGTTGTATCTTCTAAATGTGATTGTTTTTATTCTGGTTCTTGTCCCAGTGTTCTGTATGGGAATACTCCTTGGTGGACATTTTGTTTTTGTCATCTTGTCCCCACAATACTATCCAAATTCCAACCAATGCCACCTTACTCACCTGGAAAATTTAGAATTACAGAGAATAAATAGAGAGGGTTTATTTATTAACTGAGTTTTAACAGAAAAAGTAGAAATGATCTAGTCCTTATTTATCGGAGGAACCGGAAACACAAAGAAATGAAGATGCTTGATCTCAAGATAGCTTAGCTGGTTAGTGGCAAAGCTAAAGCAAACAATAACTAACATTAGGTTCAATATTATACTTTATACGGATCTTCTATAATCTTCAAGCTGTCTGCATGGGGTTAATATTAATATTTTCATTTTACAAATGAGACCATTTAAGTTCAGAAATGTCCTGGTAAGTCCTGATACAGAATCCAAACCCAGGTTTGTTAGTCTCTGAAACCTGTACTCATTACATTCCATCTCCCAGTATTTATTACAGTGTTATAAAATCTCTTTGTATCCAGTCTAACCCTGTAATGTCAACAACAGGCAATTTCTCTTATTTGCCAAAATTTATATTTTAGCCTTAACACATATATAATAAATATAGCTCAATTAAAGAAAAAGTTTAGATAAAAAGATTATTTCTTCCAGGTAAAATTTCTCTATTGGGCAGTAAATAATAAAATAGTTAGCCTAAGTGTCATTGATAAAATAGAATTGCAGTGTAATATAAACAAAGTTTTAATCATTACAACTAATTAAACTGAGACAATTACTTAACTGAAAAGTGATCAAGAGAAAAAGGAATAGTATGTAATCAAAGCAGGGCCCTCGACTTGACAGGATCACAAGACAAAGCATAGCAAAAATGAATTAGGTCCCATAGGAAGCTAATAGACTTAAGAGTGTTTCTAAACTGTTTTCAGGGGAATGGTTTGGGATTTGGGTAGCAGAGATACAGGCTCTTCTAGGTAATCCACTGACCCTTGAAATAAGTAAGTCTACTCCTGCTAAAGAACTCCAGGCTTTAAATAGAAAAATTTGAATTTTTTCACGCTTCAAAACATTCTTTTCATTCTGATTTGACAAGGCCTCTTTCAGGACAAAATAAAAGAAAAAAAAAACTGGTAGACTCAAATCACTACACTGAGTGGTCAAGGAACGTTCTTCTTTTTTTTTTTTTTTTTTTCCAAACTCAAGACATGAGGATCGTGGTTGTACAGGGAAGATTGGATTGGGGCTTTCCTGAGCTGGATTCTGTCAGCTGTAAAGAGTTGCAGCACTGCTACCATCATGAAACCATTGTGTTGAACTATCTCAGACACACCGTTATTACCCTGCTTGTTCCCAGTGCTAGAGGATGCCTTTGATGAGCACCCTAGTTTCCCTCCCTTTTTTCCCACCTTCTGGTTTAGAGTCAGCTCTGCAGTTGGTGAGAGGCCCAAGAAAGGCTATTTTAATAGAGGTTTTAATAGTGTACATGAAGAGAAAAACTCAACACAGATTAAAAGAATTTTTACACGAGTTACATAATTTTGAAATTCTATTTTAAATGATTTCTAATGTGAACTTGACTTCTCTTCTAGTTGTAATTACCATTTTGATTCTGGGATGCCTGTGAAAATACACAGTGCTAGATCATTACCATGGTAGCCCTTCTGGTGAGCAGAACAATAGATCCATTCATACATAGTGATGAGACAGTAACTGGGATTTTTATTAACTACCATGAGAAATATCCCCTGAATATCTGTCTCTTTACAGGGAAGAAAGCAGAATTATAAAGATGGTACAACTAAAGAAAAGAACACATTTCAATGAGCATTTAGTATCCAAACTGCTACGTGGTCTGTGATGCTCAATACAAATCTCCGGCTAAAATTTATATATAAAAGATAATCGATGAAATAGAAAATAGTCATCCCATCATCTCTTTTCAAGAGCTACCATTCATCCTAATTTAAAATTTGTTTTCATTTTAAGGTTAAAATTATGAAGCACATTTCTGTGTATAATTCAATGTGTTATGTAATTATATAATAAGTAGTTAGTTATTTGTCTGAGCCTGGACTTAAAAGTTAAGAAACTTAAATACGGAATCCAAGTTTTGCCATTTGCTATTGTTTAATTTGGCTATTTGTTGAAACCCATTAATCTTTGGTCTCCTCACCTAAAAAAGGAGAATGTTAACACTCTGTAGGTAATTTTGGGGATTTCTTGAGGTTACTTTGCTGAAAAAGCCCAGTGGCTCTTTTGTAGTAGGGAACTTTGACATTGCGATGCCTGTTGAATTCTTAGATGACAAAAAAAGACAACTGCCTAAGTGCTATACAAGGGTAAGTTACTCATGTCAATCTTTATTTTGAAGAGGACTAAATTTATTTGGGGGGGCATCGTGTGGAGCAAAAAAATTTAATATTTGTTTATTCCCAATTTGAGTGTCTCTAGAAAAAATTTTACCCCAGAACTTGGCAAGCCAAAACCTCTGTACTATTGTAACCTGTAAAATCAATATTAGTTGGGCCTTTATTCTTGATTTCTAGAACAGACATTCATCTGATCTTAAATTGCCACGGTTTAATGCAACATCTTTTTAAATAAGTCATTAACATTTTCTAAGAAAACTTCATTATAAA